AGGATGACTCGAAACAAATCGAGCACAATGGTAAATCAGAGCAAGCAGATTGTTGCTGGCTGTACACTTCTGCCAGAAAAAGACAATGACTCCTCCCCTAGGGGAAGAATAAGGCTCACTGAAGAAGACGATCCCCAGATTCACCATCCCCGGAAAAGGAAAGTGTCACGGGTCCCTCAGCCTGTGCAAGTGAGTCCTTCTTTACTACAGGCAAAGGAGAAGACGCAGCAGTCTCTAGCAGCCATCGTTGATTCTCTGAAACTAGATGAGATTCAGCCATACAGTTCTGAGAGAGCAAATCCGTACTTTGAGTATTTGCACATAAGGAAAAAAATTGAAGAAAAACGCAAATTATTATGTAGCGTTATTCCTCAAGCTCCTCAGTATTATGATGAGTATGTAACATTTAATGGATCATATCTCCTGGATGGAAACCCCTTAAGCAAGATTTGTATTCCTACAGTAAGTAAATTGTCACTTGATACACATCTGTAACACTCGTGAGGATATAACTCAGTGATAGTGCACCTGTCTCATGTACAGAAGGCCTTGGCTTCAGTCTTTAGTACTGGGTAGAAAGTTGTGCATATGCAAGCTGCATACATAATTTTAAGTTTTCTAGTAGTTAATATTTTCAAAGCAAAAAGAACTGGTAGATTAATTTTATAAATGTTAAGTCAGTATATCCAGTGTATTCGGTATATAATCAAAATACAGTTACTGAGATATTTTACTCCTTTTTTCCACTGAGTCTTTTGAAGTCTGATGTACTTATGGTACATGTCTGCCCTGACCGACCGACCACACGTCACAAAGTAGCTTCCTTATCAGGTATCGTGTTAGCTTTCCCTCAGCTGCTCATCCTTTTGTTTTAAAGAAGACATGTTTTGATTTCTTTAAAGACAAATGAATGCCTCTACATGGACTTGATCCCATTGTTTTGTCTTCTCCAGAACCTTCCTCCGTGAAACACTTCTCACTAGTATTTTTTTTTTCCAGTCTCCTTTCTTGGTTGGCCTATGTTTGCTGATTCAGAAGATATATATAGGTTACTTCTGTCTTAGAGAGAGAAAAAAAATCTCCCTTGACTTTCCCAGCTCATCATCAGCCTTCCACTGTCTGTCACCTTCCCTGACACACTTGTGCACAGTATTTTGTATGTGACAGTTTGTCAGCCTCCTGCCTTACTTAATCTTGAGCTCTTATGGCAAAGCAGGGATCACCTCTGATCTGTTTTTAAGGTTCATTGGATTGTTTTTGTTCTGTTTGGTCTGACTTGACATCATAACCACCTTGTTCTTATTCAGTTCTCCCGTCATGGGCTTAAGTACTTATTTATTCTCCTGTTCCTCTGCCTTATTGACTGTTTAAAGTAAGCACTAAATGTGTTGCTTGCCTCCTCTCTCTCGCCATCTTCTGTATTGCATTTGTGATGTGATGACTTCATTACTGCCTTAGATACTCAGATACATGAATATTGCATATTCAAATACATTATGTTACATATATAAGTAATAAGTATATGCTAAGCATTGTGCTAGGTGCTAGATATTGGAGATGAACAAGATAGACATTCTAAATCGCTGCCAGAGTTCCCATCTTTCCTCTGTCCAGCTTTAGGATGATCTGAGTTTCATTATAAAACACGTCTGTTGTTGGGGTATAGTTGGTGCACACCATTGATCTCAACATGGGGGGAGGCAGAGGAGGCAGATCTCCCTGACTTCAAGGCTAGTCTGGTCTATGTAGAGAGTTCCAGGCCAGACAGAGCTACATAGTGGGACCCTGTCTTTAAAAAAAATCAGTCCGTTGATGTGACTATGAGGCTAAATATCATGAGTGATTGTCAGTTTCTGTAGAATAAATCTCAATTTCTTACTGTTACATACAAGGTCCTTCCTTCCAGTACTTTGCTAGGCTTGGTCCTAGTAACTACCCCTAGTGTATAGGAAGGCTACCCTGGAACCCCCTAACATAGGGACTGTTTTGCAGCATCCCTTTACATGCTTTATCTTTTGATTGGTACCTTTTAAATGGATAAGAACAAACTCTGCCTAATATTAGCTGAGAAGTGATGCTGGTGCATTTAAAATCTTAACAGATTAGATTTAAATAGCAATCGTAGTAGACTAAGTAATGAGCAGTAATACAAGTTTGAAACAGTACAGAGAGACTCTTTGTTGAATTAGAATTAATTGTTTTAAATACTGCTTTAAAAGAGACGATAGAAATTGGATATAGTATGGATTTTTACCTTTAATGAGAATTCCTAAGGCTGTGTAGTAAAGCAAATGTCCACTTAGCATTCACAAATTAAACACCTAAATTTCACCAGTAGTTTTAAGTGACTGACTCATCTTCTCTTCTGACTCTCTCCTTCCACTGTTTCTCCACCATTCCTCTAATGGACTTAGCTCTTCCTTCAAAATGTTCCCATACTGTCCTCTCAGACTCTTCCTTCGCAGCCCCCGTCTTAAATGAATGATCTTCCTCTGTGTTCCTTGAGACAACTGCATACCTACAAGAGATGGTAGTTTTAAAACAGTAGCACCAAACTCGTGTAGCTAGAGTTTTCCTGCCTGACCCACAGTCAGGACAAATCTCTGTCACCCGCCAGTCCCACAGCCGCTCAGATCCAACCGAGTAAACACAGAGACTTATATCGCTTACAAACTGTATGGCTGTGGCAGGTTTCTTGCTAACTGTTCTTATAGCTTAAATTAGTCCATTTCCATAAATCTGTACCTTGCCATGTGGCTTGTGGCTTACCGGCATCTTCACATGCTTCTTGTCATGGCCGCGAGTGGCAGTGTCTTCTGCCTTCCTGTTCTTTCTTTTCTCCTGTTAGTCCTGCCTATACTTCCTCACTGGCCAATCAGTGTTTTATTTATTGACCAATCAGAGCAATTAGAGCAATCAGAGTAATTAGACATACAGCAAACTCGTTTTTCTCAACTTAAAGCAATTCACAAGACACACACAAAAAAAAAAAAAAAAAAATCAATGTAGTTTTTCAGTTAGAGGCCTGAACAATTTTCCCAAATAAGCTGCTACTTTGTAGATGTCTGCACTGTTCTGTTGAGACCTTGTGATGACATCTTACATGTGTTTGGTTGCTCAGAATTCCTAGTTAGAAATGAAAAGTCTTTATGAATCTAGCTTTGATGTTTTTTAGGAAAGGACTTGTCCATGTTGTCTTGTGATCACTGTAGCAACGGCATAGGAATGTGATGTCCTACTTTCTGGTGGAATCAACAAGGATAAGAAAAGGAAAACAGATACCCTAGGGAGAAGAGAGAATATTCAGGGTTCTAGATTGTTGCCAGACTTGCCTGTCTCATTAATAGTAAATTGCCAACTTCCTGTGGGATTAATAAGAAAGCATAGTCCATTGTATTATCAAGTTAGAAATGAACTAATAACTGTTGAATGGTTATACACAAAATTACGTGGAATGTCACATACAATAAAGAAAGCTCATTACATAGTTGTATCTACTTCTATATAAGAGAGTTCATTAGTACTGAGGTTTTTGTTTTATTCTCAAGTCTACAAAGATGCTTTGCTTATTAAACTGACGCACTGCTGTGGTCCCTAAGAGCACTTCTGTTTTTACACCAGCTTTTCTGTTTTTGTGGCTTCTCATCTCTTCCTGTCTGGGAGCTGTAACTGATTAACTTTTTGTCTTAATAATTTGCTCTTTGAAATTTTGCTGTGGCCTAGGAATCAAAACATCTAAGCATAGTGGAATGTCCTACTAGGTTCCAGACAACCAGCACTGACTGAAAAGTCTCTCAGTTGTGTAATGAGCTGTTTTCCTCAGACAGATGCACTGTGCAAATAAGCTGACAGCATGGAGTTTGCTGCAAAGATTCTGTGCTTCAGTTCAGTGTTTCTGAATCCATTGCTTTAGGCAGAGGATCATGGTAGTGGGAGCGTGTGTCAGAGGCTCCTCAGCTCATGGCAGCCAGGAAAGGAAGACACTCCCACCTCCACCAGCCAGGCCTCTTTGCAGTTCCACCACCTTCCAGTAGTTTGCTCAGATTTGGTTTTGATTCAACTGTTGATTAGAACAGAGCTCATAACCTGATTGTATTAGAAAGTGTCTGTTGTCAGGTTGATAAACCTGGGAAGAAGGAACCCCAAATGAAGAGTCTCCTCCCTCAGACTGGCTTGTGGGCATGCATATGGGGCATCTCTTGATTGGTAATTAATGGAGGAGGGTGCAGCCCACTGAGTGGTACCATCCCTAGACACATGGGCCTTGTCTATATAAGAACAATATATAGCAATAAGTTAAGCAAGGCAGTAAGCAGCATGCCTCCATTGGTTCCTGCTTCTAGTTCCTGTCTCGAGTTCCTGCCCTGGCTTCCCTCAATGATGAACTGTAACTCACAAGCCAAATAAACTCTACCCTCCCAGGGTTGCTTTTGGTCAGTGCTTTATCACAGCAGTAGAGAAGAAGAAAACTAAAACCATTACTTCTATGCATTTCTAATTGACACTCACTAGTATTCGTTATTAATCTTCCAGGAGTCTCAGTCTAATCAAGTTGACAAGAGTAACCATCACAGAACTGTATTGTTTAATTCATGGAATGTCAGGTTTTAAGTTACGCACTAAAAGTTTAATCGTAGATAAAAACTTAATAGTTTATGTGTGCTTTCTAATTAGATTACACCACCACCTTCGCTGTCAGATCCACTTAAAGAGCTCTTTCGGCAACAGGAAGTAGTAAGAATGAAACTACGTTTGCAACATAGTATCGAAAGGGTAAGGTACCCTCAAATATAAATATATGCAAAAAATAACCATTTACAGTAGTAAAAATGGCCTATGGCTTTTCATTAATGGACATTGCCTGTTTACTGCTATCTGGGGAAATGGTATGATTTTGTCCTCTTGTGCTCATCCAATTAAAGAGAGAATTTTAAACCTGTCTTAGAATAGTTACTTTCTTACTACAATTCATGCTGAAGTGTATTTTTATATTTGAAATCCCTATGATGTATCATTTGTTAAATTTATGATATTAGAATAGTCAGTTTCTAGTAGAACATTTATAATTCTAAATTTTTGAGTGCTTTCTTGGCATACCAGCCTCTTTAGGCCTAATGGAAAAGGCTATGTTTATTCATTTTTTTGGTATGCCTTAGTATCTAGTTTTCAGTTGTTTGTTTGTTTTTAGTTTTTTGAGACAGGGTTTCTCTGTGTTGCCCTGATTGTCCCGGAACTCACTCTGTAGACCAAGCTGACTTCAAACTCAGAGATCCACCTGCCCCTACCTCCAAGTTCTGGGATTAAAGGCGTGCATCACCACTGCCCAGCTACTGGTTAGTCTTGACATGAGGGGGGGAAGACAAACTGGTGATGGAGAGATAGTTCCCTAGTTAATAAAATCACTTGCTGTTCTTGTAGAGGACATGGGTTCAGGTCCAAATACCCATATAGTGGCTCACAACCATCTAACTCCTGTTTCAGAGGATCCAGAGTGTTCTTCCAGTCTTCCACAGGCAGCAGGCACACGTGTGGTGCCATACATAACATGCAGGCAAAACATTTACATAAAATTAATCCTATTCCTAGAAATCATGAACATCATTTTACATGGATTTACAAAGTATATCCCTTAAGCCAGCATTCCAGAGGCAGAGGCTGGCAGATGGATCTTTGTGAGTTCAAAGCCAGCATGGTCATATAACAAGATTCAGAATAGACAGGTCTTCATAAAGGAACCCTATCTCAAAACAAAGCATAAATATATCCATATCCCCTTAACCTTGTGTTAAAGTTCCATGGTCTCTAAAAGATACAAGCTATGGTATTTCACAGAAATATACATATACTTGTCTTCGATTTATATACAATAGGTTCCCCATGGCAGAGGCCTTTAACCTTTTTTATACTTTTGACCAATGAGGAAACTGGGAACCAGTTCTCAGACTGTGTTTTAAGTGAGTAAATTCATGTGGTTGCAAAGAGAAGCAAGAAGGGAGAGCAAACACCCAGGTGTGCTGGACTCCTTGCCGTTGTCTTGCACAGAATACCCCAAGAAATACATAAAGAAGTTGGAACCATCATACATTATTGATCAGTGTAAAATGATAGCAGCTGCTGTTGCAACAGTTGACTATTCCTCAACAGTTAACAGACTTGTGACCCAGCAGTTTCACTCCTAGTTAGTACCTCATAAGAAATAAAAATATATGTCCAGGACAAACAGAAGCTTAAGCATAAATGCTCATGACAGCTTTCATAGTAACCCCAAAGAATAACAACTGTGGGGGAGGCAGAACATTATCTCAGACCTGTTAGAGCACCAAGAGTTACAGTGACATAGGGCAGATCAACAAAAGGCATACAGTTTCGATTTAAAGTTTCACTGAACATGGAGCCCTATGAGGAAATGAAGACCCAGAGACGTGGTGAAGCCCTGATGCTTTTGTGTTAGATTAGACAGAGAAACCTAACAATGCAAAGGCAAGGTAATTTCAAAAGGGCTGTACAGGTTTCTTTTGGCTTTACCTCCCTGTTTCTGCTGGAAAGAATGTTCCTCTCTGCTGGGCTATAGTGGCGCACACCTTTAATCTCATCACTCCGGAGGCAGAGGCAGGCAGATCTCTGTGAGTTCAAGGCCAGCCTGGTCTACAGAGCAAGTTCCAAGACAGGCATCAAAACTACACAGAGCAATGCTGTCTCAACTCTCCCTCACCCCCCAAAAAAAGAATGTTCCTTTCCTCCTAACCCGTAGAGGACATCTTTTACTTTGGAGTCTTATTTCCTCAGAGTGCCCTTGCCCTAATTATTTTTAAAATGACTACAGTTCAAAATAAGCATTATACCAAATTAGCATGTTTTGAAGTGGCAGAGTCTGCCACCCTTCAAATCCAAATGGTCAAATAATGAATGGCATACATAAAATATGTCTACAGTAGAATATGATTTGTCAGTAGCAAAGAAGTAGATTATAGTACACACTACAGTGTAGGTGAACCTTGAAAATACAAGACACTAAGTAAGGAAAATCGGTGGCAAAAGGCCACATAGTGTGTGATTTTATTTATGAGTAATTGAATTTTCAAAACAAGTAAACTCATAGGGACAAAAGGTAGATTACTGATAGCCAGAAGATATAAGAAAGAAGAGTGACTGCCAGTAATAGGAGATTTCTTTCTGGTTTGATGAAAATCTTCCGGAACTAAAACATGTATTTATTTATTAGTATTATAAGTATGAGGTTTTTGCTAGCATGTATGTCTGTGCATCACATGCATGCCTGGTGCCTGTGGAGTTAGAAGAGATGTTCAGTCCCCTGAAGCTGGAGTTATAGACCGCTGTGAGCCTCCATGTAGGTACTAGGAACTAAACAAAGGTGCTGTTAACCACTGAGCCATCTCTCCAGCCCCATCCATACACTTCAAAAACAATTTTAAGAAAGAAACTGCCAATTTTGGAGAGAGAAGATTTCTCTAGAACACTAGGAATTTTTAAATTTCTCAAGCCTCCTGTGAAGAAAATGGTACTCTATGATTAAGATTATTTCGTGTAACTTAAGTGATTTTATCTAATTTCAATGAATAGTTTTAATTACTCTGTGTTCAATTAGGAAAAACTTATTGTATCCAATGAACAAGAAGTTCTGCGAGTCCATTACAGAGCTGCGAGGACACTGGCCAATCAGACGCTGCCGTTTAGTGCTTGCACCGTCCTGCTGGATGCAGAGGTGTACAACGTGCCCTTGGACTCACAGGTAAAGTGCTGGTTGATACAGAGTGCCTTCAAGAACTGGAACAGTCAGTCCTGTTTGTAGATCTGTCTTTGTAGAAGAAGGTTGAATTAAAGTCAGAGAAAAAAGACAATTTCAAAAGTGTTCCTGGAACAGCTGGTCCTCTGTATTGTGGGTTGGTATAAAGCTAGGTAGCCATTTGGACATGAGTGTACAAGCCTCACCCCAGAACTCGAGAAGCCGTACTCTATCTGCTTAACAAAATGAAGGGCTAATAAGATGACTCCATGGATAAAGTGCTTACCATGCAAGTGTGAGGACCTGAGTTTGAATCCCCAGAGCCAGACACAGTAGTAGCACATGTCTAGACTCCTGGTGCTACAGCAAGATGAGAGCAGGAGACCGGCTCTCTGGACATACATCACCTCACAGAGACTTTGTCACACCTGAGTCAGCTTCAGGGCCCACGTGGTAGAGAGAGCCAAGCCTACAAGTTGTCCCCTGACCCTCACATACACACTATGGGATGCTGAGGAATGCCTAGCCTCTGATGGGTTCAAAAGAGAATGTCAGCTGTCATGGTGACTCACACCTGTAATCTCAGCACCAGGGCAACCTCTTAGGCAGGAGGGTCACATTTGAGGCTAAGCTAGACTCAAAAATTATCTATTTTTTTTTAAATTATTTTTATTTTATTGATGTTTTACCTGTATGTATGTGTGAGGGAGCTGGATCCTGGAGTTACAGACAGTTGTGAGCTGGGAATTTAACCCTGTGGGTGCTGGGAATTTAACCCAGGTCACCTGCAAGAACAGTTAGTGTTCTTAACTGCTGAGCCATCTCTCCAAAAATTATCTGTTTTTATTAGTACATTTATTTATTTATCATGTGTGTGGTGGTCAGAACCAACTTGTAGGGTTGGTTGACCCTTTCCTACCACATGGGTCCTATGGCCTGAACTGGGGTTACCAAGCTTGGCAGCAAGCAACTTTGCTTACCGAAGAATTTAAAAAATAAGTGAATTCCTCAGTAAACTCAAAATTAGAGATGTAACAAAACTGAGCCAGTCTCTCTAACAGTTAAAGGACTGAAAGATACAGGCATCTTCTGGAAGGTAGATGTTTTCACAGTGAGATGAAGAAATTCCTGCTTTTGACTCTATTCTCTTTTCTTACATAGCCATCCAGCTTTCTTTAATCTCTTCTAAAAATAAATGATATAAGTTGTTAATGGAAAGGGGATTTTGATAATTTAAGTAATTTTATTATATCATGCTCTAAATTTCCTAGTGAAACAGAACACCGGGTGTTAAGTTAGAATTGATGAAATCCCGGGACTCGGGGCTTACTCTCTGGACAAGGATACTCATCCGTGTGTGTGTGTGTGTGTGTGTGTGTGTGTGTGTGTGTGTGTAGGTCAGAGGATACTTGTATGTGGAAGTCAGGACAAACGTGACGCTGGTTCTCGTTTTCCCTTTTGTGTGAGTCCTGGGGATGAAAGTCATGTCATCAGGCCTGTCTAGCAAGTGCCTTTATCGCTGAGCCGTCTTGCCAGCCTGGTTTACGAACACTTAAAAAGCTCTATCCTGGAAGACGTACTCCCTCTAATGGCAGGTGTCTGCCCTGTGACCACCTGTTCTCCCTCTGTCTGGCAAACGTGAAGAAAGATAGAGCAGGCAGAGCACTCCCTGTGCCATGCCTTTCTGAGAACGGAGGAGGACTCTACTCCAGAACTAAACGCTGCGTCTTCAGAATTCTGGGAGCACCCTTTCTGCTTGAAATGGAAAGAACAGCATTAGTACATTTTCTCTTTAGAAGCACATTCCTCTCAATAAAACGGAAGCATCCATAATAAGTGGGATATTACAGGTTTTTAAAAAAGTGTTTTACCACATGTAACATTTTTTTTTTTTTAGTCTGATGACAGTAAAACTTCTGTGAGAGATCGATTTAATGCAAGACAGTTCATGTCCTGGTTACAAGATGTGGATGATAAGTTTGACAAACTAAAGGTGGGTATGTTTACATGGCAGTTGCTACTGTTCGTGCTGAGACAGGTTCTGATGGATCCCAGACTAGCTTTGAACTTGATTTGGAGTTCAGCTCCTCCGGCCTCCTCTGGCGGCCGGGATTATAGGCATGCACCACCATGTTGGTTGTATGTGGTGCTAGAGATTGACCTCAAGTGTTTGCCAAGCCAATACTCTACCTGCTGAGCTGCCTCCCTGTAGACCAGGTTAAATGGATGCTTCCCTTGGGACTGGAGCAGTGGCTCAGCAGTTAAGAGCACTTACTACTCTTATAGGGGACCCAGGATCTATTCCCAGCACCCCCAGTATCTCACAAGATCTGTACCTCTAGGGAATCCAATGCCCTCTTTTGGCTTCTGGCCTCTACAGGCACTAGGCATGCATGTGGTACATACATACATACATGCAGACAAAACACCCATACACAGTAAATTTAATTAATTAAATTAATGTTTCCCTGTCCTTAGAAATCACCAATAAGTGAGAAATAATTAGAAAAAGAAACATTGATTATGAATATTCACTGTGAACTACACTTGGAAAATAGGAACTGAAACCCACAAACTGGTTCTCAGAACTAATGTAGAGCTGGAGAGGTGGCTCAGTGGCAGAGTGCATACCGTTTTGGGAGAAGACTTAATTCAATTCTCACTTCCTGTATTAGTTGACTCACAAGCACCCATAATTCCAGCTTTAGGGGGGGTCTGATGCCTCTGGCCCCCAAAGGCTCCCTCTCACCTACACATAGCCACACAAAGACCCTTACACCTTTTTAAGAAAAGAGCTACTGGGCTGGAGAAACAGCTCAGCGGTTAAGAGCACTGGCTGTTCTGCCGGGGACCCAGGTTCAATTCCCAGCACCCACATTCACAGCTCACAACTGTCTGTAACTCCAGTTTCAGGGGATCTGAGTGCCTCACACAGACATACATGCAGACCAGATGCAAAAAAAAAATAGAAATTAAATGAATGAATAAATATTACTTTAAAAAAAGACCTACTATTACATAAAATATCAAAGTGCCACAGGAACTTTTGTGTATCTTTGTGCTCATTATCCAATATACCTGTCTAGTTATAGCTCTAACGTAAGAATCGAATGATAAAACAAATGTGGTTTGTCTAGTTGCACACTTGTAATTCTAGCTGTTTGGGATACTGAGGCAGGAAGGTTTCTCATCTAGACTGCCTAGCAAGATCTTGCTGCCCCTCCTCCACAATTGACTTGAAACTTTAAAGCATTTCTGTCTATATTTTAGAATTCTTTGGATAATTCGAAATCTTATGATTTTAAAGAGTAATAGCAAGCCCAAACTGAAAAGATGAAAATGACATGGCAGACCCAGAAGTAGGGACACTTTGGTGTGACAGAGGACAGAAGAGGCTTTGTACTGTGAACTGTTCCTACCGCTCGTGTATCTGTCTTGGTCCTAACAAAACTGGATTAATCAGCCTTTCTCTTCTTTTAAATAGACCTGTCTTTTAATGAGGCAGCAACATGAAGCTGCAGCGTTAAATGCCGTCCAGAGACTAGAATGGCAACTCAAGCTCCAGGAACTCGATCCTGCCACCTACAAGTCTATCAGTATTTATGAGATCCAGGAGTTTTATGTTCCCCTGGTTGATGTTAACGATGATTTTGAATTGACTCCTATATAGCAGTGGGTACTTGCCTGGGTATCATCCTAAACTAACGATACAAGAGTTACACTGTGGAATACTGCCTTTAAGAAAAACCCTGATAATACGCCTTTACAGTTGTTAGTGAAGTTAACTAAAGTTGGTTATGTAGTGAACACTGTCATTTTATAAAAATAAAGAAAAATATTTTGGATCTTAGGTCCAAATACAGTTTCTAACAGAAAACTATTATTTATATTCATCAAAGGTAACTATTGCATTAGAAAATGTTGGCAAGCTGAGTAGATCTTTAAAAAGTTGAGAAAACCTGTTAACAGCGCTGGAAGTTGTTAGCACTCCAAGTAACAAAATAACCAACCACAAGTACTCAGATCTCTTGCGGGTTTTATTAAAAGTACATGAGTAAACACAAAGATCCAATTCCTACCAAATAGTTTCTAATGCAGAAGAAAAATCTTGGCACAAAATTCCTCAGTTTATTTTATCTGTAAATTAATTGTACAGTTTTCTTTTTTGAAAGTTTTAATATTGTCTTCCTTTTTAATAACTTATTTTATACATATTGTACATCTTGTAATTAATGGTCAATGTATACAAGGGACTGGCCCTCAAAACTGTACACAGAGATGACTGTAAAACTGTCTGTTCGTTGGACCAAAGTTGTCGTTGTGGAGTGTCATAGCAGTGTGTTCAAATAGTGAACCTTTGACTAGGCATGCATGGGTTTGAGCTAGCTTGTGTCCATCCCATAACTGTCAAGATGGTGGCTTAGTTGTGTCGCATGCTTCCTATAATTTAATTCTTTTCTGTAACTGACGCCTGAGACAGTGTGAGACTTCTCTTCCCAGTTTCCTGCAAGAAAACCGGGGACTTTGTGTGTGGGGCACACTGATCAGAATGTCATCAGAGAAGCAGGAGCTCTCTTCCGTCTCACTGGAGAACAACAACCAATGCCTTTGAATGGAAATTCTGAAATTGTAAATGTCTATTTTAATACTCAACTATGAAAGAATCTGTGAATATATGTAAATATGTTTAATAAATTTTATTGGTCATGTTAAATCATTGTAAACTTTCTTACATTGCTTAAATTTAATCTTTTAAGCTTAATAGCCTTTGCACTTTTAAAATAACAATTGAATGCTCAGATCAAAATAAGATACTTGGTAGTCAAAATAAATAAAAGACTTAGGAATATTCCAGCCCTTGAAATGTTCATGAAGATTTTATTAATATGTTGTATTTTTCCTTGTATCAAGATGCAAAATGTGTAATTTGCAAATTTTCATAATTGAAATAAGATTTGGTATGCTTTTTATAGTAAAATAATGAGCAATATACTTAGAACAATTTCTCCTATGACGTGATGTAGATTAGATATTCAGGAAAACTTTAGATAAAACCTGCTGCTGAACTTGTAAAACATTTGGAAAGGAAAATTAGATTAATCTAAAATCATCATAAATAGGATAAATATTTGTGAACGTTGCCTTGAATTATGAAATAATACCAGATATTTCCTATTTTGATAGGGAAAGGTAAAAAATACGAATTAAATGGTTTAAATTCAGCTCACAAGTTGGAAATCCCAGCTAGTAAAAGAAAACATTGGGTTTTCAGTGCAAAGGTACATATTAAGCTTAGGGATTTTTGAATTTTTACATCAATTTATATTTTCATTCTTACTGTACTGGCATGCGCAATAAAGCAGCACATGTGAAAAATATACAGTGCGAGGATTAGTAAAGGTTGGACGTAGTTTTCCTTAGAAATTTAGATGAAAGACTTTGGCCTTTTCATTGAATAAATGGGGCCAGAAAGGCAGGGTAGACTGAAGCACTGGTTTTTGTTGAAGTTGTGTTTATTAAGGCTGGGAACATTGGAAGCTAATTTATAAAAGCAATACTTTTTAATACAAAAACAACTTAATGCAAAGTTTGTTTATTCTTTATCCTAGAAAGGAAATTTGTTGAGCTCATGTGGCAAATAACAAAAATTAAACAGGATTATGGAACGTTCAAGAGAGCAAGAGAAAAGTAAATCTGTAGAGCACTTTGTTCTGATGGCTCAGCTGTTGGGGCACGGGGCTGGGGGGGTACTGACCAAACAGAAGGAGCTGTTGGGGGGGGGAGGGGGAGAAAAAGAGAAAACAGCTTCTTGTAAGCAGGGCCCTGCAGGTGCAGCCCTCAGTCAGCCCAGCTTTCTAGTCCTGCCACAGTGCTCACTCTTTCCATGGTAGCTCAGACAGCTGGAGCCTCTGCCACACTCCTGCTATTAATGCACTTCCTCTGCACGCCCGCTGCCGCTGCTGCCGCCGCCGCCGCCGCCGCCGGGAGAGCTAAGTCACTGCGCCTCATAGGAAGTGTGTGAGTTAGTACATAGTTAGAACTCTCGATGTTAGAGACTTTCTGAAGGTCGAAAATACTAGAGGGAAAAATCTCAGAATGGATGCCTAAAAATATTTGGGTTCTCAAAGAAAAATAAGGATGCTGAATTTAATCAGTGATTCTTTTTAAACTCTTAAACATCATGAACAAGATATTAAATTGTACCTAAGGATTTGTATTTCTTTAAGTCTTGTTCTAAATCATATCTGTTTAATAAATGACTAGTTAATATTTGTGCATGTTATTTAATAAAGAGTTATATTTTTATAGAAAAAAATAAGAGTGAAATGTGTGCTAAGTGTTTTTGACTTACTGTCCCACTCCTGTATAGGTAAGTGAAGCACCAGTGTTTACTTGGGCCTCCAGCAAGGTTGCAGAAGTACTCACCTTGTGGAAGCAATCCCTTTCAAATCAACTGAGCAAGGAGAGGTCTCACAAATGAATTGTAAGCAGGAGGCACGCTGCACAATTCCCAAAGCCCCATGCACCTCGTTTGAGTGGCACTCGGCATTCTAGTGGTCTAGGAAACAAGGCAGGGTGAAATGGTTTCCTCTCCTTTTCAAAAGGTTAGCAATGTCTTTAACTCTACCTCTGCTGCTCTGGCATATAAATTCCCAAAACTTTACACAAAGGCTGTTGACTAGTTAAAGGAAACATTTCACCATTAAAAAACAAAAAACAAAAAAAAAAAAACAACTTTTTTTTTTCACCAGGCAGATGGTTCATGCCTGTAATCCCAGCATTTGGGAGACAGAGTTCAGTGCCAGATTGGACCGTTAATGATACCCTGTCTCAAAACAACAATAAAATCAGCAAATGTTTCAAACCCTTAAGGCAAGAAGTCAAAAAAAAAAAATAATAATAGTCTTTGGAGATGTGTGTGGAGTTCAGTGGTTCAAACTTCCTTTTGAGGCATGGTCTCACCATGTAGCCTTGGCCAGCCTGGTACTGGCTATGTAGACTGTAACTCAGAAATCCACCTCCCTCTGCCTCCCAAGTGCCAGGATTAAAGATGTGCACCACCACACCCAGCTAAAGTTTCTTGTAATTCATTATCTTGGAAGTCTTGTAGTACTTCAGAGGAAATTTAAGACCCCATAGAAATAGTCACCTGAATTTTTTCAATCATGAAAACTAGGGTTCATAAAAGAAACTCAGCCATATAAAGTAAACAATCATTAAACTGTTCTAACTATAGAATTTTAAGTATTAGCACAAAAGTAGCAAGTACAGCTGGAAGATTGGCCAGGTTTCTCCTGTGAGTAAATATATACAGTATTGATGGTAATATAATTTTTGGTCATGAGACACACTTCCATCAGAGGAAATTATGTGAAGGTTTTTATCCTAAGTTAGGCAGTCTCTGCTCACATTAGGAATCGGTGTTCTTACATGAAAACCTAGGAAAGCACATTTGTCTTATTTAAGTACATTTTTAAAAAGTGGTTACTTTATCCAAATCTTCAGCTAGCACCAGATAAAAAGCCTTTATGTAGCTAACCCCCCCTCGCTCTTTAGAACAATGTTACACACCGAGGACAGGTTCACAGATTAATAGTCATCACTTGTCATCCCTCATTCAGCGTTACGTTTGTTAGTAGTTTTTAAAAGATGGTTCTGCTTTAGATCCAAGTTTTTAAACAATCCAGACCTAAGTAAGCCGTTTGATAACTCCTTGTTACAAGTACCCAAATCAACACAAAGTTTTCATCACCCCAGAGAGTCCCTCATGCCTCAGCCCATGCTGTTTCCCCAAGAGGCAACCAGTGGGCTGCCTGCCTTCACTCTGTTAGTCCCACCTAGTCTCAAACTTCGTGGAAGTGAACTCATGTAGCATATACCTGTGTCTGCCTTCCTTCTTAAGCAGATTTTGGAATTCATATGTGTTTCGTATATCAGTAACAAGTAGTAATTTTTACCGAGTAGTGTAATTGTACAAATGTGTTCTCGTGTTCTTAGTGTTCGGATTGTTTACAGTTGGGATATTGTGAATAAAACCTATGGACATGGAAACCTTCACTGTGGATCTATTTTTTTTTTCTCTTAGGTATTTACTGTTGAGAAGAATTTTGCCACAGCTCAGGTTACTGTTCATCTGTATTAGAAAATGACATTCCTCCAAAATGAATGCACCATTTATACCATACAGCCCTGTATGAAAGTTGAGTTGGCTCTGAAACCTGATACTTGGTGTTACTGGGTCTAGCACCCATGATGCCCTGGGTTTCTTTCCAGCACTGGAGGGTGGGGAACGTGACTAGTGACAATATTGTCAGTCAGTTTTAGCCAGTTCAGTGGATGGATAAACCTCGTGCTTTTCATTTGTATTCTTCCAGCGACGACGATGAGCTTATTGAAGCTATTTTACATATCATTTTGGCTTTTTGGGTTTTTTTTTCTTCTTGTTTTGTGACAAGGTCTCTTGTGTAATCCTGGCTGTTCTGGAACTCACTATGTAAACCAGGTTGACCTCCAATTCAGAGATCCACCTGCTTCTGCCTCACAAGTGCTGGAATTAAAGGTGTGCACCACCACACCTGATCTCATGTTATTTTTTAAATCATCAAGCATTTTTCTCATTTCTTTCTGAGCCATCTTTTGAAATATTGGTGGTCTTTTCTAAGTTATGCATAACAGTCCTTTGTCAGATACAGACTCTGGATGTTTTTATCCAGTATATTATTTGCCATTCCCATTTTCTTAGTGACTAGTTTTCTTATTCCTCCTCCATTTTAGTGCTTTGTTTCTGTGGCCACATTATCATTATAGGCTGAGCTTTAGTCAACCTTCTGTACTGTACACACCCCCACGTAATGTATGTATCACTTGGCATAATACATTCTCTTGTGCTGGTGATTTTATGGAGAGGTGTGAGTATCAGGAAAGCAGCTGGAAGCCATGCTGCGACCAAGAGCTGATGATCAAGTCAGTGTTCAGGCCTGGAGGACAGTTTTCCTAGAGCCTTTCTTTTGGGGACAGCGGGGGGGGGGGGGGGGGGTCCTCTAACATGTCATTTTCCTAACAGTCACTTCCTGATCACATGAAGAATACCAGTTCAGTGATGTAGATAGACGTTCAAATGTTGACACATTTCACTATGTAACCCAAAGTTCACGCTTGAGGACAGTAGCATGGCTCTGCAGGTAAAGGTGCCTGCCACCAAGCCTAGCAACCTGCCACCAAGCCTAGCAACCTGAGTTCAATTCCTGGAATGCGCATGGTGGAAAGAGAGAAGAGACTCCCATTGGTTATTCTCTGGCTTCCACATGTGTGTCATGGCACTCACTCTCAGGCCTACACGGAGATTCACACTTGGTATTGCCAATGCAAAACAGCACTCTCACCCCAAAGTAGAGAGGTCTCCAGATACAACCAACTCTGGCCTCTTGAGAGTATGGATCCAGGCACCCCAATGACTTGTTTCACTGGAGAAATGGTTAATGTCAACTCTTTATAGCCACAGAACATAAGGAAGTCATAAATCAGTGCATTCACCGAACATACTGAGGACATCAGGTAGGTGGGTTAAAGTTAAGTGGGGGGGGGGGGTCCGCCATAGGTTCCCAGTGCCATCTGATAGACATTCTTAGCTTTGGGCTTGGTGGAAGCTACTGGTCTACTAAGACAATACCTCCCAGTCATCAGAAGGGTGCTAGGTCAGATGCCAAGATGACAGTGACTAGCTATTAAGGGGACTTTGGTTTGCCCATGAAAACTTTCTCTTGGTGTGTGGCATTAGACAGCCACACAAGTTCTAATTAGTCTGCAGAAACCTCAGCAGAAGTGTGGCTTCTTCTCATTTGTTTCTGAAACACCCAAGTGTTGGGATTTCTGTCCAAGGACAGATTTTTCACAGTTAACTTTCAGTCTCAAGGACTACCTACAGCAGCATTTCCTGCTGGTTCATTTTCTTAAAGGGACAGGCTCCCACAGTCATGTCCAACCATTCTGGCATTATAACATGCCATCAATGTAGTGGATAGCTGTTCCAGCTTTGACCTTGAAACACTGCCCCTAGAGAGAGAGCAGGTAACTGCCACACCTGCCTCTGACCTGCCCCTGGGGCTGACCTGCCCCTGGAGCGTGGCTGGGAGGGAGCCCCTTAAGACTCGAGTGTACATGTTTGGCCCTTCTGAATACCTCGTGGTCCTGGAAGCTGGGTGGGACCATGTTAATTGCAGTATTTACATCTACAAAGACCTCACTTGAGAACCATGCAATTGGGGTTAATGAGCTTTGTTTCGCTTCATCACAAAAAGATACCTTACATTTTTAAAGCAATTTTATGATTTTTGTGTTGAGCCCAACCCATATGCGTACTGTCCTGGAGCTTGTGTTGGCCAAAGAGCCAAGGTGTGGCAACAGTTAGCTTGAAGTTCACCCGAGGGCTTTTCTCAAGAGAGTCACTTTATTCTAGTGTACAATGAAAGTGTCTAATGGTTTCCCCTATTTTGTTAAGTAAAACATTTAAGAAGTGGAGATTTGAGGGTTGAGATAAGTATGTATGTCCGTTGGAAGAGGGCACCAGATCCCCTGGAACTGAAGTTAGAGATGGCATGAACTGCCATGCCTCTGCTGGAAATTGAACCAGAGTCCTCTGGAAGAGCGGTTCTTAGCGTCCAAGCTGTTTAGCCCCTGAAATTGGCGTTTTGTTTTAAACTGAGAGCTTGACAGAGGAAGCCCTAAGGACACAGTTGAGCGTATCTGCCTCTGACCTGGGGGCAGTTTAAACCCTGCTCTCCCCTGGCAGACCATCTCAGGGCCCCAGCCGGAGACCATCAGGGCCCACATTTTGAGACCTGCTGGTCTAGACTGGCACTTGTGCAAATAGCTGCTGTGTGACAAGAGAAGGAAAAGAAAGGAGCTGCTTTGTGTTGCCGGGAAAACAAAACTTAACCATCCACATTATCGACAGCAAACCTTCCCCCTCCCCACCTTCCCAACTACACACACACACACACACACACACACACACACACACACACACACACACACACCCCACATGGCTTCAAGAGGCTGAAAGCTTACAATGTTCATAATGTAAACTGTGGACATGCTTTTTTGTGTGTGTGTGTGTGGTTTTTTGAGACAGGGTTTCTCTGCGTAGCTTTGCGCCTTTCCTGGAGCTCACTTGGTAGCCCAGGCTGGCCTCGAACTCACAGAGATCCACCTGGCTCTGCCTCCCGAGTTCTGGGATTAAAGGCGTGCGCCACCACCGCGCGGCAATGGACATGCTTTTGTAAAGTACTTTCCAGACAGTTTTGACTGTTCGAAACTTCCTGAAGAGAGTTTAAGCCTCGCCCCAGGGATATACCATTGCCCCTGGAGTTAAAGTTGAGAGGCCCAGAGTAATTCTATTAACTGCACTATGAGAGCCTTTTAGCCTACCCTGCACAGGCTGGGTGGTACAGTGAGAACCTTAGGGCCCTTTCCTGTCCCTGTGCTTCTGAGGTCCTCTCAGGTCGGATAGCTTACCAGGGTAAGAGGATATGCCTAGTGAACCTCATGTCTCACCTCCCATCCTTGAACAGGTCCCCAGCTCTTAACTCAAGCCTTTGCAGGGCTCATGCAGCTCCAGTCCTAGGTCTGCGCTTGTGCACACCGGAGAACAGCCAGCAGGCTGCAGTTTTGAAGGGCGTGGACATACTTTGGATGTCTGAGGGAGAGTGCCCTAGAGAGAGGCTGAGTGAGGTAGGGTATCTTGCACAGCTAAGTCACCTTTCACAACCGACTTCTCGAGGACACTGTTGTTAGCCTAGCTTCACAGCTGAGACGTGGCCGAAGCAGCGTGGCCGGAAAGTATGTGACGACAGCCCAAAGCTGACGCTGTCCTCAGCGCAGCCGGGGTCGGAGGCTTTTCAGGCGATGTTTCCAATGCTGCCCTGGCATCAAATTGCTGCATCTCAAATTAGCAATAACAAACGACTGCGATCTAGCAACTTAAAAGAACACCCAGTTTGGCACAATACGACTGTGCCTCAGAGATCATGAGTCTAAAACAAAGGTGTCGGCTTCAGCTTGCAGACCCTGGGGAGACTCCATTTCCACAGTCATTGTTGTCTCAGACCTCAGTCCCTTGTGTTGCTGGGCTGAGGCCACTTTACCTGACTGGCTGTCAGCCAGTAGCTACTCTAAACTTCTAAAGGTCACACTCATCTATACTGTGAGGTGCCTTCCACCTACAGGCCACTAGGGAGACCCAGATCTTTCTTACACGTTGAATCTGATTTCTACCATTGATAACTGATAAACTCTGGATTCAAATTTGAGAGACTTGGGTGGTTAAGCCAAGCACCTCCAAGCCTCCAGGAATCTCCCTGTAACCTAATGGTGGCTGAAGACCACAAAGTGAGTGGGGACCAGGGATAAGAGAGTGGGCTAGGGATGGAGGGGATGAGGGAAACCAATACAAAGTTCTTGCAAAAGAAAGAGACAGAGAAGAAAAAAGGAAGGAAGGGGGAGGGAGGAAAGAGAAAAAGGAAAGGAGGGAGGGAGGGAGGAAGGAAGAAAAGAGGAAAGAAAGAAGATTGTGTTTACATAGGGAAACTCTGTCTCAAATAATTAGCCATACTACATATTGAAGTAGAATAAGACAGAAAAGACAATGACTAGATTTACTTAAAGCAGCTTGCGCAGCTCCTTGCCACTCATGACATCATCTGCTACCTGGAACGGAACGGCCTAGAAAAATAGTTAAACAATTGGTCGGTTCCTTTAACAACCTGACCACAAAAGCTTACACCTGTCCACTAGGGCTTACGCCTTCACGCTAACAAAAAGCCGATTGCCGTACACGCTTCTCTAAACTCTCACCTGCTTGACCGCTCTCCCGTAGGGTTTTAGAGTCTGAAATGAGAGTGCAGACTGGGCTAATAACAAAGAGTTTCAGGAGCTTCCGTTCACCAGGGACATCTCCTCCCTTCCACGCTTGTGGTCAGAGTGCTTATCCTAGAGGGATCTGCCACAGCATAAAGCAAATATCAACAAAATTTCTGAATTTCAAAAGCTTGAAATCTTTC